ATTAATTTATAAAATTAAAAAAATTATAAATAACACGGTTCGTATAGAATATAAAATAAATAATTTATTCAAACAGTGTAATGTCAAATAAATTGCAAGCAGCTGTTAAAAAAAAAATAAAAAATTTTCTTTCTAAGCTTAATTTTTTTTCATGAGCATTTTTTCAAGAAAAATGTACTTGACTTTGATTGAATCCTTTCTCTTGAAAATTAAACAAAGGCCAGCTGGTTGGTTTTGCAACTCGAAATTCCACTCAGTTCGCCACAAATCAAGGAACTGAGAAGGAAGTGTTCCGAATGACTGACAAAAGATAATTTGGATAGATAAAGCAACGAAAGTGAACTGCTTTGTGTGTCAGCAAAAGTCAAAACAAGCCGAGCCGCGTCAAATTTGACACATTTTAAGAACTTTCCTTCTCAGCGCAAATCAGAAGTGATCTGCTCGGGTATGTATTTTCAATTTCAAATCAACCCGAGAGACAAAGTGTGAAAGTGAGAAATCTACGTACAATGCAAAGGCGCGCCATTTAAGGATACATCAAAAGGGGTAATTGAATGTCACGCATCTCAATAACACACCAGAGCGGACAGTCCTTGTATAATAAATGATAAAATGACAAACGGCTTTTCTCTCTCAAGTGAGTGAGAATTCAATGGGATTTGTTGGGCAGGAAAATAATAATAACAAATGTATATAAAAATCTGGCACACTTTCAAATAACTAACCTCAGATCTTTCTCACGGTGAAATATCTTATTGGCAAGAGTGAAACAATATCCGTTAATTGCGAGGGTGTGGCGAGAATCAAATTCAAAACTTTTGATAGGACCTCCGGTGATATACTAAAGTGAGCGGTGCTGACAACTTTGGTTCGATTAAAGTACATTCCAGGTCGGGCAATTCCGCACTCGCATCTAATTACTATGCAGCAGCTGCGATATATGTAATGCCGCAATACAGCAGCAAAAGCCTTTTCTTGGCCGCCCGGCCAGCGCCGAGTGACGCATGGAATCAGGCGCAGACATTTAGCTCGCCATTGTCAGACACTTTATTGACTGCAGCTTTTCGCCCTAGCTGCTCATCATTTTGCTATGTCGACAAAAACCCTCGTCCTTTAAGTAACGATCTGCATTTCTCTAACAAGGGAAGAACCTCACATAATATGTGTAATTATGCTTATTTTGAACTTATCCCAACAAAAATATTTAGACTTTTTTCAATTAATAATTCCTATAGGAATTGCGTAAATATATTTATATATTTTAAGTCCTGCAGGTGAAATAGTTTTGAAAGATTAAAAAATAAAAATAATTATTAATGAGTTTTTAATATTATTAGCACTGAAATTCTTCAAATCCACCAGACATCAAGATTGATGAAGTTCCCCAGCAAGATTAAATTTTGCACAGCCATCGGAAGATGGTTGATTCTTTATTAATGTATAAATGAAACTTTTAATACCACGAAGACGAAATTGATTTTGGATAAAATCAATGAGTGCAAGTTTTATCAGATCTTGGGAAGAAAATTGAAAAATAAATTAAGAATGAAGAAAAAAAATATAGCTATCCTTGGACTTTCAAAGTACCAGATGATTGACTCCATTAATTAATCTAAAAGCATTCCGAACACCATCTTTTTCAATTAACGCGCACGCCGAACTATCTAAATTTTCTCCTCTCGTCTCGAGCGCGGGATCGGTGGAAAAAACGAGAGAATTCTCTCTGCGCGCGGGTATGTAGGTTATAAAACGGATGAGAGAAGAGCACGGCTGCAGCTCAATATTTTTATAATTACCATACGTGTCTCGGAAGAAAGTAATTTCATCTAGCAGATGCTAATCCTCAAGCCTGCATAGATTAAAATAATTAAACGGGAGTACGGAGAAATTTCTCTGTAAATTACAAGACGTCGGCGATCACAATGCAGCATTTTTTATTTTTCATTTTTTTTTTCGTTCAGAGACGTCAAGAGGAGTAAATATGGATCGACTTTGTAGTTCGTAATTGAAAGGCGCGCTTTTACATCATGCGATTCACTTTAATGCAATTATACGTCTTCTGCGCATTACAGTCAGTCAGGACTGTTAAATTGGTGCTCACTCTGCTCGCGATGACGTTCATTAGATTAAATAATCAAACGGAGCCCATCAAGAATAATTGCAGGCTGCGAACAACCGTTTTATTGCTTCATTCCAGACCAAATTCGGCTTAAACAGAATTAATAATGAAAACAAAAGATGAACATATTCCTATAAATTTTTCATTAAAAATTTTGGATTAAATTTCAATTATTTTTATCAGCTGTAAAATCAGGATATCAGGAAAAATACAAATAAAATTATATAATTTTAGGGATTTATATTATTATGCATGTGTGTTATACAATTCGCTGTACGTCTAAAAGAATCGCTTAAAAAAAGAGTTATTACTAATGAATATAATGAATTTTAATTTTCAATCACATTATTAAATGATTTTGACTAACACAATTTATACATTAATTGTAAAATAATAATCAATAAATGTCAATGAAATGATTAAAAAGTTAATGATTAAAAAAAAAATGCTACAAATAAATTAAAACTCTAAATTAACGTTAATATTAAAATAAATTAATGAATAAATAAATGCAAACAATTATAAGTCTATATTTAAAAAATTATTTAAAAAATAGTTTTATCTTTATTAATAAAAAAGAAATAGTAAAAAAAATTACTGACATTAGCATAATTGATGCAATGGCAAAAATGAATCATAATATAAATGGTTTTGATTCTTATTCTTTTGCTATTATTATTACGCGCAAAATTGGTTAAAATTTAGCCAGAATTTTAATTTTAAAGTTTCTATTCGTCGATAATTAATAAATCGACTATTTTTAGTCATTTTCCTATAAAAAATATTTCTATATTGTTTTTCTGTTCGTTAAAGTTGTCGTTTTCATATCTTGAGTTGAAAAAGTTAACATATAGATGGTATATAATTATCCTCAAAATTCTTCAAGTTCATCTAATCTGATATGAGAATAAAAGATCTGAGCGAGTATTGAACGTAATTAAACAAAAATCAGGAAATTTGTTGGTAAGATAAAAATGTGTTGATTGCAGCTTGCAGTTAAGTTCATTTACTCGGTTCAAGTTATCTGTGAGGGAAAAATAATTTTTATTCATAAATTGAGCAAATGATTTCTAAAAGTTCAGTATGTTTAAAAAAGTGTTTTTTTGTAAATGAAATAATCTGAACTGAAAATTTTCACAATTATTGTCTAAAAATAACAACGGAAAACTGGTAAAATAGTTTGGCGTGATAAATTTTCCATGGAGAAGAGATTATTTGCGGCAAAACTGCGGTCAGCAGAATTTTCCAAAGTAAAACGCCAAAGGCACTTTTGATTTCAACCCCAGCAGCCATATAAAAAGCGAAACCCTTTGTTTATCAAAGACGATGCAGCATTTACTATATCTCTTTTTGTAGCGTGAAATTCGCAGACAATTATTCCTTTTCCATTATTATTTCGGAAAGGTGCGAATGTTGTATATTATATTTGAACTTGTCTTTCGTTTCCTGCACAATGGCCCACGGTGCGACAATAAGCCCTTGGTGAAAAAAAGTTAATCCAATTTTGCGCTGCTCAAAAACAACGAGGCTCGAGAAAGGGGAGCGTTAATAGTACCAATCTAAAATAAAGTAGTGCTGAATTTCCCGTCAAGTTGCACGCGAAGAGTTGCTTTGCACGCTTCGCTGTCTGCCGCTGTCATTCAAACTGACTCATTACAGTACCGCTCTTTTCATTACATTATTGGAGTCGAGAACGACAACGGACGGCACTCATCTCGTCTTTGATGATCTCCCAGAGCCGCTAAATAAGTTTCTTACGAGAGGAGAAAAGTGTCTCGTGTCGCATCATTCGGTCGATAGAAAAGAGCTAGGAGCTAATTATAGCCTCAAGCCGGTCGATAAAACTTTATAAAAATTTCTACTCAATGGGCACCTTACATTTTGAATAGAAATGTCACTTTCATTTTTTTACAAAATAAGAATAAACGCACAAAATTGTTTGTACTGTAGAACATTTTGAAGTAAATAAATATTCATTTCTGATTCAGATTGAGTTTAAATTAATTCTTTTGGTTTGCAGAGAATTTTTATAATATTTTATAATTTATTAAGTTTGTAACTAAGCATGTAAATTTGTTTATATAGAATGCTTGTTGTCAGATTCAGAAACCAAGAAAAATATTTATTTAAATAAATTACAGTGACTTGAAAATCTATTCCTTAAAAAAAGAAGGAGACATTGTGTAATTAAATCAGCTTATATCAATAACAAAAATAATAATAGCAATAAATAAAAATTAAATTTTACAACTTTAGTCATAGATTTTAAATGGAGTTTTAAATAAAAAATGAAGCTTATTATTTTCAAATCTAATTTCAGATATTATGAAAGAAGTTTGCAGAAATATTTGAAAAAAAAAAATTTTTTTTAAGTTAAATTCAATAATAATTCAAAACTAGGTTTTAAATCTTCTCTGTGTTCAACATTAAAAATTCATTTATGAATACATGCAACGATTGAGAGCAATTTGAAGGATGGCAGAATTTATGTTTATTAAAAGCTTTTTTTCTGGTTCAATGCCGCCTTTCTAAATAGATCAATTATTTTATTGAAATTAACTAATTAAAATAGTGCAAATTATTAAAATTACAATAAATTTTTAAAACACAAATAAAAGAACTAAACTTTGTTACAGAAATTAAAATTAGCTTGTGCTTAAAGGCAATAAAAAAAATGTGATCAAATATCAAGGAAGGTCAGTCTTATTGAAACATTATCAAGAACACTGATGAGAGCACCAAATCAAAAATATAAGAGGCGAGTGTAAATATGCATTAAAAGTGTGACCGGTCCTCTTTACAAAGCGGAGGCCAAACAAACAGTTTGTCATCGTTGCGGCCTCTCGAAGAATAAAAAAAAGATGTAAGAAAAGGTACTCACCGGCTCTGACGAGGCTCAATCTCTTGATGGGGCTGGCCGAGGGGCGCAGGCGGTGCTCCTGTTTGATGCTCTCCATCAGCAGCTCTCGAGGACTCGGGGCTCTGTCAGGGGCAGGGCCCAGTTTCCTCTCCGACGCCTGCAAGAACAATATCTCAGTTTACGGGCGCGTCCCGTTTTTCCTTGGCAAGGATGAATTGTGTTTACCTTCCGAAGTGGAGGCCTCGATCGGATGAACTCAAGAATGATGGCGTGGGCGTCCTTTTTGACTCTTTGTGGAATTTCGCCGTCAACCATCACCTGTTAAAAAAATGAAGCTTTTCAGCAATGAGGTAATTTTCCAACGTTTTAAGTAAAATGATAAATATGAATGTATTTATAATACAAATAGGTAATGAAATAAAAAAACTTTAAATACTTCATACCGGAAAATAATTTTAACTTATATTTTTTGTTAGACCTATTTTTTGAACCTGTCCCATGAATTTCCAATTCATTTTAATAATATTTGCTCCCAAAATAAAATTTTATTAGTTGCTATATGAAATGATAAAAATAAATTTTTGATGGACACCTCAGTTTTATTTTGCCAACTTATTTGAGGTGAAATTAAATTATCTTGGCTAAAATTCTAATTGATTAGCATTCTGTAAATTTGGAGATATTATTGCAGGATTCTTCTTCGGGATGTAAGTTTAATTTAGAAAAATTATATTTTTTATAATTTTTTTCAGGAATTAACCAAATTTTCCACATCAAAGGAACAAATGTTCCAAAAATATATATATCATGAAACTCGATACAATAATAAAAATCCGAGATGAAATATTAAATTGTTTGAAGACTCTGCTATAGAACTCTGCTATAGAAATATGGCCAGATTTATTTGCCTCAGAAATTTGATCTTTTAACAAGCTGCTTTCATATTATTTTTCCTGTGTAAGGTTAATTTGAACTCTCTTTTAAATGACACACGACAATTGATAAGAGCAACTTGCAAAAGTGGTCCGCATGTATGGAACAGGAACTTTGCACATTCCTCGGAGCGACACATCACTCAACGGACATGGAATTGCACGGTGGAGAAAACCACTTTTATTGCATGTCAAAGAGTCGAGTCGCAGCACAGGACGGACCATTAATTTCCCGCTCTTGTGTCCCGGTTCGTACTTTTTGTAAGAGTTTATTTTCGCCAGTGAAATTGCGCCGACAATGCAGAGAGACCTGCTTTCCATAAAATAAATCTATTTCCAGCAGCACAGCTGCGATATCGATCGCGACTGCTGGCGAGACCTTACAGTTGTTGCCCTCGAGTGCAAAAACATTCGTGTACAATTCAAACATCACGTGTACGTAGTAGTAGTTTGAGCAGCGAGGGAATTATTTATCGTCGGGCGGGCGGGCGAATCTCGCTTTTCTTCGGCACAGACGTGCAGAGTGGCTTATTTATCTTGGCGAAGAAGAAGAAGAATGACAAATGTAGGGCGCCTACCTACCGACCCATCAGTCTCATGTGCTTTTGATCGCCGCGGAATGTGCAACTGAATTTCAATTTGTCTTATTAGATTGACGCCGCACATGGTACCTCCAGTTCATTAGGCAAATGCTATTATTTTTATTTAATTATTTACTAACATAAATTTTACAAATTTTCAATTAATTGGAAGCGAAAACGGAAGTAATTTTGAAGTGGAAAAGTAATTTGTCCTCTTAAATTATGGTTTATTTTTAAATGATGTGGAAAATTTAATTACAATTATGTATCACAATGAACGGAAAACTTTTTTTTTTGCCATTTGTGACCTGATTTGTTTCTTTGGTGTAGTTTACTTATTATAAATTATAATTATAATTTATAATATAAATTAGACAAAACTATCATAAGTTTCATAATGGGAAAAAGTTTTTAAAATTTTAAATCAGGAAATTACACTATAGTTGGACAGATTTCAGATTTCGTTTTTTTTTTTTTTTTTTTTAATGTTGGATAAACCTATTGTAAGAACAAAAGATTAAAAAAATCATATCAAAATAAAACAAAAAGTGCAGATTATAAAATAAAAAAACAGAAATATAATGTGATGGATGAAAGAATAAAAACAAAATTTTTGTACTCACACTCACCTTGTTCAATTTGTACCGCTTGGCTCTGATGTCGTCCATCAAAATCTCATATGGCGTCAGTTCGTACTCGATGGTAGGATTGCGAAGGCAGGGGCCACCCGCTTGCACTTTTTTCAATTGTACTCCATTTCTCAGTTCTTGAATCACTTGCATCCACAAACGAGCCTAAAAACGATCAAATCTCGTTAGTCATCTCGGCAATTTCTTCTGCACACACTCAACAGCAAATCTAATCTAACGACGGAACAGCCAATCAAATCAAGTACAAGTTAATTCATGAACACTCGCATTTTAGGTTTTTTTTTTGCTGAATTAATGGTGATGCAAACCTAAGTAAAATTTGCATGCTGTGGTGAAAAGGCGGAAAATTTCATGCGATTTTTTTGTCGACTGAAACGTCTTTTACGGTGCTTGCTAAAAAATAAAACGAAATTCCCGTTTTTGACCAGAGTGCATTCGGTGATATTTATTTTTTGCATTCGCCAGGCAAATAATTTGAGAGCTGCTCTCAAAAAGTCACAGCCTAATGACTGCACTCGTCTCCATTTGGAGAAGAAAGAAAATTATAGATGATGTCATGAAAATTAACACAGGCAGGAAAAAATGGAAAAAAAATTGTTGATTCTGATTGTACATACTTGTAGAGCTCTCCAAATCCTACGGCCAGACTAAAAAACAAGCAAGCCACAAGAAAAATAAATAATCGGAGCCGTTATGTAATTGAGGGTCAATTAAATGAGAAGCTGGCTGCATTTTGAATGTTATATTCACATCGTGTGTCTGCAGTGAAAGGAAAATGATAACTTTTTCGTTCCAATCAAGAGAAAAGCGGACAAATCATAATTATACGGGCGATGTGTAAAGAAAATAAATCCAATGAATAAAAAATAAATGAACGATTTCATGGAAAATGCTTTCACTGTTTATGTTGGTGTATAATTGATCCTCCATAGGCAGACAGACGTGTCTATAAACCGCTGCTGGTTAATTATATGGATGGTAAAAACGTGAATCAAATGTTTTTATGTACCTATTCTCAACACGTTTAAACTTTGCATGGAATAAAAAGTCCTGAAGGTATTTTCAGTCTACGAGTTGTATTTGAATGACGTTTAATCCTGCCTTTCAATGGAAAACTTCAAAGAATTAAAATGGAAAACATTCAAATTACTACCTTTTTTAAGAAAAAGATCCATACTGGCCCTTACTTTCACTTCGTTAAACTTAAAAGAAAAGTTTTATTTTTTTTCAACCGATTTAGCTCAAATTCTATTATTTTCTTTCCTTTTTGGCCGTTACTTTTTTATTTTTTATTGAACTTAAAATATGAGAAATGCCATTTGAAATTAAATTCCACTAATTAATATGAATTTCACAAGATGTAGAAAGAAATAAAATAGAAAGAAATGAATTTTTAAAATATATATTTAAATTTTTTGTAACTTGTAAGAAAAAAAGAAGTCACTGGCCGCTACGTTCAGTTTGTTGACCACAAAAATTGTATTAACGTGGAAAACAATTAAAAAATGCTGATGTGGTTCTTTGTTTGTTTTATATAAAGTTTGAAAAAATTTACAAGGAGGCAGTGATCCCTCTGGCTGTGAGACGTAATTATCGTGACGCGATATACGAGTCTTAATGCCCCTGGTCGAGATCATTTTTGGTCTTTTTTATGGCGCGGGCACGTCTCTCTCGGCTCTTGTGTAATTTAACGTTTCCGCGCCCAACATCCACTCTGGGAGCAATTTGCGGCGGGTCAGTGACTGGGCTTTTCAACTCACCCAGTCGGTGAACTTGAGCTGGTCGAGGTCATGGCACGTTTCGGGGTCGACCTGCACGCAGGGCAGACTTTGCGTGCCCTGCGACACCCTTTCGAGGAAGGAAGCGAGTTCGAGCGCTTCCGCCACCAGCGCCCGACACACGGCCCGATAGTGCGCCTCCGACTGCCCGCGCTGCTGGCTAGCCTGCCTCACATTGCAGTGCTGAAACAATTAAAACGATATTTCATTTTACATACTCTTTCTAATAAATTTATAATTTTATTAAATATGATTTATACACACAAAACAGAAAAAAATTTATTATATATTTATTAAGATCCTTTTCTTATTATCATTTTTTTTAAGATTTTTTAAATTTAATTTTTGTATTAAACACATTTTTTGTTTAAATTTAACTGGTTAAATTTTACTATGCTATAATAATCATATTTTCCCTAAAACTAGTTATCTTCACTATTTTTTTTTTTAAATTTACTCGCAAATCAATCATAGATATCTTATATATATTTTATTTCTACCCTCTTTTCAGATTTTTCTGCGATAGTATGAGTATCTTAATATTACAATAAAATTGAAATGAAACACCTTTTGAAATGCAGTTGGTCTCTGCTGCCGATAGAGAAAACAAAATACACTGTTTTAATTATATCTGTGAGCAAACATCTGAGCTCGCTGTTTTTGGAGTGAAGGGTTTTTTGTCATGGCAACTTTTCGTGGCACCATATGGTTGAAACGCATTAATCAAATGCCCGAGAGCAGAAAGTTTGGCTGAAATCACATTAAAACGAAAACTGACCTTTTGTTGTTGATAAAATAATCCATAAATCTAATTTGATTTATTTACTATAATTGTTAATAAAAATGCTAAAAGCTAGGTTAGAAGATATGTTGAGAAATCTTAAAAAATGAATGATGTAACAGATGTTTTGTTGTAATTAAAATCTATTCAAACCATACATCATTAAAAAATTCAAAATTTAGAAACTTTTTTGGTGGTCAAATTATTACCTTCAAAAATTGTTTCCATGAAAAGAATTTAAATTTTTAAATTTTTTTCATCAAACACTTTATGGTATTTTTCTGGTATTTTTTTCAACATTAGGCACATGTAAAATACAATTATGTACATAACTGCAATATTATTAATCAAGGAGTCACCGATTTTAGATTCAACAAATTTTTCGTTGTATTGATATATTTTCTAAACCACAAAAAAAGCAATTTCTCAGTAAAATACTCCTCTGTTTAGGCTGTTTAGTTTAATAACTTCATCTGCTGCTTGGTCAATTTATTTCTTATATTTCTCTATTATTGTAGCTTTATTTTAAATAATCAATCAATATAAAATTACCATTTAGTTTTTTGCTCATTATCAATCATAATTCTGTCTGGCGTGCAAAATAAAAAGTCTAGACTTATTTTCTTTAGGCCGTGTGAATACCGTGAATATCGAGCAAAATAATGAGAAAAAAACTTGCTTGTCTTTGTATCAAAGTAAATTACATTGATGAAGCATAGATGAGGATTGTGCGTGGAAAGAGAAACGCCGCGAGAAGTGTGAAAAATTGAGGCATTGTTGGCGTTAGAAAGCCGAGGGCACGACGGGTGATATTATTATGCAACGTTCATCTCCCGAAACAGAAGCAGCAGAGCGATGCTGGATACAAATTCAGTGCTGTTTGATTACGCCGGCGTGTCTTCCTCAGGAAGGAAAATCGTCCGGCGTAATCCCGCACACCTTTACTAATTGTATCACCTGTGGCACTTTCGGAGAAAATTAATGCGCCGGACAATCTATTCTGTAACGCAGGCCACTTTGTCTTTCAAAAAAAGTAAATGGCGGCCCTCGACCTTGATCTACTAACTCTGAAATAGACGTGTTACATATTAAGAAAATCGACCAACATGCAAGAGTTGATAGCAGAAATAATTGCGAGTGTAATTGGTTAAATTACAAAACAGTTGCAAAAGTAGAGTTTGATGGAAGGAAAATCAAATTAGAAAAATCACAAATTTCATTTTTAAAGTATTTTTGTTATCCATAGGTATTATAAATTATTATAGGAAAAAACTTATGTATAAGTATTTCTTCCTCTGCAAAACATCTGCCACATTATTATTTTATTCATTTATTTATTTAAATATAATTACAGTGAAAATAAAACTAACAAAATATTTGCAGTAAAAAGTTAGAAATAAATCCGTAAGAAGTAATAAAATTTTCAATTATTGGCTACTTGAATGTGTATATAGCTATTATTATTAAAAAAAACCTGATAAGTCAAACAGCTTAATGCCCAATAATGTTTTGACATGTCAAGATCAATCAAAAGGAAACTAGGAAAAAAGCTTTTTCTCTCTCATTTCTTTACTTTCTTTTCTGAAAATCCTCACAGAGTAAAGCCGCATTCCATCACTATCAGACACACAGTTTGTTTTTATTATTAAGTCATAAAGCAGCCGAGCCGCGGCCGATAATACACCTTCTTCTAGTTCCATCATAATAAAAAGACGCGCGACGTGTCTCTCAAACTTTTTGTTCAAGATGGATCAATTTCGACTTTATTGGCCGGCCCAAGAATGCGGCACTAACGGCCCGAAACTGACCAAAATTGTTAACCCCGAATTCCACGAATCGCCTAAAAAACGAGCCTAACGTTTATAAATAAGGGAATCAAGCCGTAAATTTTGTTCGTAACGAGCCCATTTGTCGGTCTCACTAAAAAAATTATTAAATTACTCCCGGGAATTAATTTCGAGGCTCGTTATGTTTGGTTTTGTTGTCCAAACAGGTGACTTTTAATAGCATTACACGCACGAAAGAAAATATATTTCTCTCATATTCGTTCACAAGAAGTGCGTTTTTGATGACTTTTGACGAAGTCTCCAGGAGAGGCCTGTTTATATATTTTTATTTTATATACAAAAAACTTGTTGCAGCAAAAGAAAGAGATGCAGGTTGTTTTTTTCTCAATGGTAGAGAGAGCCAGAATAAAAATGCTCCTCCGCATCCTGCTGTCTAATTATTTATTACACGAGAGGCCGGATGGAGAAGAAAAGTGCATTTTTTCTCAGATCAAGGTTTAGAAACTCCAAGTGTCGATTTTATTCAGAACGGATATTAATTTCAGCGAGAAGTAGAGAAATCAGATGCATTTTTGCCGATCCAGATGACACACTAATCAGCGGTACTTAATTAGGTAGTAAAATTCAAAATTTATGACTAATCGTATAAATCGGAAGTCGGATAACCTCCTTGAGCGAAAATAAAAATGTGAAAAGCTGCTGGTTACCTAATAACAGACGGATTCACGTGCTCGAAAAATATTTAAATTATAATTTATTTTGACCAAAGGCGTTTTGTTGATAATTGCGCTTCCTCGTGCCCGGCAGAGAGAGTGATTTTTCTTCTGAACTCGAACTTTGTTTCATTTCCTGCATTGTGTTTTTGAGACGTGTGGCGACGATGGAGAAATTGTTGTTGGAGTGAGAGCTGGCAAGGGTCACCCGAAAGTGCAGCACCTCGATAGGCGCCTGCTGGCGTTTTTTTTCTTCTTACAAACAGACGTGGCAATTAGAATATTCTCTCTCTCGAAGGAGGAAACAATCGATGAAAAGCATAGAGATTCATCATTTGACGTGCGAGAGATGACGCGATCGAGATCACGACATTCATAAATATATAAGTGAAGCGGGCCACGTTGTTGAAATCGAGAGTTGAATAAACATGGACCTGGCAGTCGTCTCGGTTCTGTGAAAAATGCAATCAAGACCAACGTGTATTTTTGTTGCTTAATTTTGAAAGTCCAAATTTTATTGTTTTCGTGAACAATTTTCATTTTATAGAAGATTCAAGGTTCAAGGATAAATGTTGATTCTCAATGTCAGTTGATTAAAAAAATAACTGAAGTAAAAGATTAATTGCAATTTGTTACTTATTAAATTTTTAAAATTTCATGATTATTATAGGATATATTTCTCCTTAAAATGTACTTTCATATTTTAAAAAATTTCCATAGATATAATAACATGTCTAGTGTATTCAATGTCAAAATTTTATCATAAATATTATCAGTATGATATAAGCGAGTTCAAATTTTAATATTAGCAATTATTGTATACATATCAATCATCACGGGATAGTCGGCATTTTAAAAAATGAAGAAATCTTTTAAATTATGTTGAATTAAATTAACGTGGAACGTTGAGACAATTTATTTTTAATTTTAAACAATCAAAAACATTTGGTACCAAAAATAATTACATTATAGGATTTACTAAAATAAACTTTTATTAAAATAATGATTTAAAAATAATAAATAAGAAAAATATTAAGCTTTTATATTGAAAACTTCTTATAAAATTTTTTTAACATGAAATAATTATAAATTATATTTAAAAATATGATATTTTTTTTAAAAAAAATCGTAAATTGCCCCTATTCATTATTATGACTCAACTTGAAAAGATTATTTCATACAAAATGACTTTTTTTCATAGTCCACAACTATGTAAAATTCCAAATAAATTCTTCCGAGTTTCCGTTGCTTTGGGGTTGTGCTGCTCTATTTTCTTCCTTTTTTACTGATGAGCACCGTTATTTAAAATTTTCTTTAAATTATACAGAAACAACGTCTTGGTTCATTTTACTCTCAGCTCGAGTAACAGATCCATCAATTACATAAGTAATGAAATTTTACGACGTGCGCGCTTTTCTTCCAAATCGTCTACTCTCTCGCAGGCATGATCTTGAATGCGTAATTCGAGTTTCCCTATGATTTTGATGATAATTAAAACGCGTGTCCTCCACCAAAGATATCAAAAGAAGAAGATCCATCATCGGCGAGCAGAGAGCAGGTGAACGATCTAATATTCTCCAGAGGGCACGCCATAATTATATAGAGAGAGACGCTAGAGTGGAAATTATTGTTTATCCCGGCGCGGCCACTTTTCTAATGTAAAAAATAAAAATCTCGAGAGGAGATTTTTGGAGCTCATCGGTCTGCGAAATGGGCCTAAATTATTCTCAAGGTGGTTCGGTCCGTTTTGGCCTTGCATACCTCCGATGCGACCAAATTGCTCACGGGGGCCTCCATTCATTGTTTCCTATACAATAGCGAATCCCGCCCTTTTCAGTTCAAAGATTAATTGATTGTTCAAAGTGGAGCGAGATTTGAATTTGTTATTTTTTCCGCGTGAGAACATGTCTGCTTCCTCCATTACGTTAGAGGCAATTCATCTCAAAGTTATGTATACGGAAGCAAATCGGTAAAATTGCAAAAAATTAAATTTTTTCTCAATTCCTTTGAAAACTTTGAGCATTACATTCCGTTTTTTCATGTAGGAAAAAATCAGTTATGAGGTCGTGAATAATTTAAAATTAGGCTAAATAGTAAAATGCAAAACTAAAAAAACCCCTCTATTTAACTTATATTGATTGTCACTTTTTAAATAAATTAAGGCTGAATTAAGGATGGAAAATCCAAATACAGTTGCAGTTGCACAAATAATCATGGTAGATATATTCGGATTAATTTGTATCTCCTGAAATTAAGGAATAGAAACTATTCTTTAAGTTTAACATGGTTTTATGTTTTAAACTACTTAAAAAGTCTTTTTAAAATTTTGTCTTTTTAAAAAAGACAAAACTTGTTTACAAAATCGTCCTCTAACCTAATTGAATGTCAAGAAAGAGGTACAAATGTTACTAAAAAAAACTGGCTAAAAATTTACAAGTCAATAAGTTGCTTTAAAAGAAAGTATTTTTATTCGTCCAGCACTCACCTCGATTACTTTGGTGATGACGGTGTGCAGGGATCCCGAGTCGAATGAGAATGGCGACACTTTGGTCACGTCGTCTGTGCCATCTCCCGAGTCCTGCTCAATACCTTCGTCGTCTGTCTCCGGCTTTTCGGAAGCATCTTCGCCTGAAACTGAAAAAATAAGGAAATTAGAAAAATAGTTTCTTGTCTATTTTGGTGAAAAATAGTGTTTTGTCATCAAAGTGTCTTTATTTCAAGGTAAGGAAGGATTTCAAATCGACACACAGATGAGCTGCAGGGGCGGGTCCCGAAATTAGGAAATAATAAAATTGCGTTTAACAATGGAGGCTCTTCTCGACGGCGGTCACTTCAGCGTGAAATGAGCCAATTCCGGAAGGGATTAATTCCAACTGAAGAAAGAGAGACATCACCTTCATAAGCAGATGCTGAAGCTGAACAACACCCAAAAATATTTGCTTTTGAACGCGAGGTGAACAATAATTTTAACAATTTTGTACAAGAGTATAAAAGAAATCTAAAGAAAATTTAATTCAAATTATTTCAACATATTTAAAAACTTCTTTTTCAACCCCGGTTTCTTTAAACGAACAATAAGTATGATTTTATTAGAATTTATAGTTTAAGGAGCCAATGTAAATTTTTCGTACGTTAATGTTCATTTTCTTGAATTTACCCAATTAAATGGTGAAAAATCGTGTTTGTTGAATTGAATTCACAGGAAAAAATTATACCTGATTTTGAATGATTTATTAATTAGTATTGTCTAATTTTTAGCCGTTTGTTTTTTGAATAAAAAAATTTTTTTGCAACGAGGAAAAGCCCGACTTCTTCATTTCCTCTAATTTTTAGATCTTCAAAATCAGCAGCAATAACACAGGAGTATCTTAATTCATTTTTGATTAAGAATCGACAGATGTTTCCAAGTCAATATTGATTGGAAGCAATTACTGCTGCAGACATGCCAATAATTCATATGATCGAGAAGAAACGCGGATTAATATCTGAGTTGAGATCATTTCCGGCCACTCTTTTGCGCGCCAAGAAATCATTGAATAAAGTTATTTGCAGAGTAATTTCCGCGTTGAAGAAACACAATGAGCGATTATTGTTATATTAGGGGCGTGCTTTCAATTATGATTCGAACACGTTACGTAGGAGAGATGAGTGCGATTACGATGAATTGCTCAATGTTTGTTTTGCGCAGGATATACTTGAAAAATTTGGCTCGTTTTTGGGCGGGTAATTGTTTGCCAAATGCGTACTAAACCACACCAAGATATCTTAACTTGCGTTTAAGTGAGTGGATTTCAAAACTAACTGACACATATATTAATATGTGAAAATTTGATGAAAAAGCCAGGCACTTTATTCATAAATTTAAATTATGAACTTTTTAGAGAAAAAAATTGCAAACATAAGACCTCAGAATTTTTGTAAATTTGGTTTGTAAAAATATTACAAAAATTATTATAATGCGAACTTCAAAGTCAAATAATAATAATAATAATAAAACATGAATTATAAATCATGTTTAATTAAATTTATAAAAATATGCAAACAAATCTAAAATTCATGGCAACTTTTTGGTGTATGCCATTTTAAATTTTGTAATTGTTCAACTTAATTAAATGCGATTCTAAAGTTTTTTGCTTTCATTAAGTAAATAAAGGTTGCTCTAATACAAAAAAGAAGCTCAACAAGCCATGTGCTCTCAAAATAAAACCAATTTAATCAAATTGAAAGGAAACATCTGTTCCCCTTTTGGAAGCACCGCCTTTAGAAATCAATTGAATTGTTTTTACGCTCGAAGGACTCCAATTGCAATGCTTCTTTTGACACGGTATTTATAAATGAATAAATAACCGAATCGGCTACTTTTCTGTCAGCCCGTAAGTCACGGTTAGCCGGTGAAAATTAATTGATCTCAAGACTGGTGGGCGTGTGTCCCTTCAATCGTCAGCCGAGCTTTCACTATGGAAGCAGCAAATGCTACAGATACAATTTATATAAATTTTCATCTTGTCGCGTGATGAATCGCCGCCGAGAGACCGCCCGCCGGAGAGAGAAAGATTATTATTTATAGTGGTGGAATGCGATATGTGTGGTTTAATTGCAACGTGTGCGTTGTAAATCACGATTAAATTCATATAGAAAATAATACGCGAGAACTTTCTTTCTGGAGATGGAAAAACTCGTTTTAATTAAATTAATAATATTTGCTCGAGATGATAACCTTAATGTCGTCAAAGCAGAGACTTTTTTTTCCGAAAAAAAAATTATGCTGTAAATTAATTAAAAGTAAATTGTTTTACTGCAGCTTTCAACGCGTCGGCGGCGTCTCTTCTTTCATGATCATCTTTTTCAATAAAGAATAAATAAATTCCGCCTTGGTCGCTCACACTGTAATTAGGGGAGAAAAAACGGGGCTTTTGTTCTCCACGGCGCCGCTATCCATCAGAGAAAAAGTGCATCCCAGAGGTATATTATATTGAAGAGTTACATCGTCAGCAGGAGGCTCGTCGCACGCTATCACTCATCAACTTTTTTTATATTAGCCCTTCGTCGTTCCAACCTATCGAAATGCACTTGGGAGGTGCAATAGAAATATTTAGACTGTCGATGAAGTCGTTTTTCTATCAAAATTATTTTGTACTTTACAGGCTTCATTTTAATTCAAAAGTCGTTTTTTACTTAAAATTGATTTATTTTGATGTTATTATCAGCTTATATCAATAAGAAAGTTAAATAAAAAGTAAAGAAAATCATAAGGTTAAATTTTTTCTCACATATTTTACTAATCTTCTTTCTACAGTAAATTTTTTTATATTCTACAATACCATAATATGATACAAAATCACATGAAACATCTAAAAAATATTCTAGATATTCAAAGTAAAATCTAAACAATTACCCAAAAATCTCTAAAAGTGAAAAAAAGAAAAAAGACTTTTCCAATCATCAGTTTTATTTTTTCCGTGTAGAAATCCGCATGTGAATAATTTTACTGAAACGTGATCTACTTGATGGATTTATTATGATATGGTAATTAGCAAACCATTTCTATCCAAATTTTTCGCACAGGTTTTAGCAAATTGTATTTCTTTTTGTTCTGCATTTATTATTTTCTAAATGCAAAATAATTTTTTTTTAAATTTACATATTAACATTTATTCGATTCCCATAAACATTATTAACAAAAAATGTATTTCAGTGTCAAATTCAACAATTGCTTTCAAACTAAGTAATAAAAACAACCTCCTCAGAACCAAAAATTATTTTGTTTGAGGAATTATATTATAATTATTCCAACAAAACTTCAATGCTTTAGCAATTTTGTTGGAATCAATTTATATTTATTTATGAAACAAATAAAAATATAATTAAAAATATCAATTTGTTTTAATATCTGCTAATTTTCGTGTAAAAATGGTTATTTTATGTTAATATTTAAAAAAAAAATTGAATATTTTTTATTTATTTACACATTGTTTGCATGTAAAAGATTTAAATAAAAACAAGTGCATAACTTTTTCTAATTTAATTGGATTTAATTACAATAATGTCAATTCCTGAAACCGAATCAACTCTTAACTCGACATAATTTCTACTGTGGGCGTATGTTTTCAAAACAAAAAGCTACTGGGTGAGTCCGAGGAGAGATAAAGCGTAGCACCAAGTGCACCCATTGTGTTCTCCTAGTAATGAGTATATTATGCAACGGCAGAAACGGAGCATTTGTATTTGTGCCCACCTCGCCAGTTCTTATCACATGTTTGTAATTTTCTCTATTTGCATACGAAAGAAGGAGGTTGTTCGGTCTCCAGAGAGCACGCGACAAACAGCTTCTCTTTCTAGAAAGGAAGCTTTTATTTCACTCTCCGCGATCACTCGTTACCGCATTTCGCTTCGAAAGTCGCGCCCGCAGTGACAAAACGAGCCGCTTGACGTTTTTATGAGGATTTGCTGGCCGCTGATAAAATGAAATTAATTTATCAAAAAGTGGCTGCGTGCATTCCAAAAGTGCATCTCGGCAGATTTCTCTCTTTTGTCATCCATCGTCCATCAAACAGATAAAACATGTGTTAAATTTGCTGCCGAGAAATTCTTTTCTTCTTCCGAGAGTTTCGTAATGTTGGAAATAAAATTCATGAGGTGTGGTTTTGAAAAATAAATTAAGTTTTTGCATAAGGAAATGTTTAATTTATAAAAAAAAACAATATATTTTTTTTATCTCTGGTAGGATGGACATAATTCATCAATAATATTAATATAATATTGACGACGAAAATTCAATTCCAAAGTTAAAAAAAAAAATGGTTAAATCAGGTTTAATTAATGTAAATTATTCTTCCGCCTCAAAACTAATTTTTAGTTGACTGATTAAGTTTACCAAATATCTATCTACTTCGGTGTTGTTCATATTGAACATTAGTTTAGATCATTGTTACTGATTATTATTGTGGTGTGTGCAGGAAATTAACAAAGTCGGCTAATGAAGAAATCGGTGTCTGCCTAAAAAACGTGCAGTTTCACTTCCAGGTTAAAAGCAGCGTTCTTCCTTTGTTATACGTTCTCGAAAAAAGATAAAAGGTTGACCTCCGCTCTATTAAAGACCTGACAGTGCCTTTGTTAGGAGAACACGTCTAAATCATTTGTAGAGAGTTAAATAAGTAACACTAATATAATGATCACACAAACACGTTTGTTTTTTGGTGATCAATTAAAAAAATTTTAACTTCCCTGCCATACAGATAAGGAATAATAATTGGAGATATTTATCGAGTGTTGGCCTCTTTTGTGGAGTTTAACGAGATGCTTATCGACCATTTAACCCACAAAAATAATAAACAAAACCCGAAATGGAAATCGTAAAAACAAAAATACTCATTAGGTGTGAACAGTCACTTTGCTTAATTATATTTCCAATTATATTTATACGGAGGGCCACTGGGTTTTGTGCTTAGGATGAGATTGAAATGTTTCACATTTTGACTCTAAAAATTTGAATATTTACCCGCTGGTTAAATTAAACTTTATTTGTGGCTCATTTTGGTTAGAAAATATTTAATAACTAATAACTTTCTGGTGGACACTTTACAAAAAGGCTCACTTTTGACAATGCCTCTGATTGTTTTTCATGGTATAAAGCA